GGCATGCCCCACTACACTGGGCCAATTTTTTTATTTTTTGTAGAGACCAGGTTTCACCATGTTGGCCAGGCTGGTCTCAAATTCGTGACCTCAGATGATCTGCCTGCCTTGGCTCCCAAAATGCTAGGATTACAGATGTGAGCCACCATGCTCCCTTACTTATGTCCCCAAAGCTCCACCCCGTTATACCACCACCTTGGGGGTTAAAATTTCAACATATGAATTTTATGGGACTCAACGATTCAGATCATAGCATTCTATTGAATAAATATAGCTATTGTGACAATCCTTATCTTAGGAATACTAGTAAGAAAATTGTATTTTATATACATCTTAAAATGAATTATTGTATATAGAATCAGTAGTAATGCAACAATTCCCATTAGAGCTATTTTATTTTATTTTTGAGACAGAGTCCCACTGTCACCCAGGCTATCTTGGCTCACTGCAGCCTCTGCCTTCCAGGTTCAAGCAAATTTTCTTATGCCTCAGCCTCCCAAGTAGCTGGTATTACAAGCATGCACCACCACATTCGGCTAATTTTTGTATTTTTAGTAGAGATGGGGTTGACCAGGCTGGTCTCAAACTCCTGGCCTCAAGTGATGCATCTGCCTCAGCCTCCCAAAGTCCTGGGATTACAGGAGATCTATTTTAAAAACCTAATAAGGTATCATCTTTTTGGACCAACTCAGGGCTTGTGAGGGGACCTTGGAGTAGAATTGAGGAACTTCTGACCTCTAACATACACAACAAATACCATTTTTCAGTGCTAGAAAATATAAATCAAGTCATCTGTACTTCCCTCTGTTTGCTAACAGTTTTTTCCAGCCATTTACTGTCAGAAAGAGCATTCTGTATTATAGGGTGTTTTTAAAATATTGTTTATGGTCACTTTTGCTTGACTATGTGGATAGGACAAACTCAATAAAGAATGTTCATAATAACTGTCTTTTCCCGTAGTTTTCCTCCCTTCCCACCTATTACTGCAGACATCTGAATGGGAGTAGCATCCTATTCTCTCTCACAATTTAGCTTTCCCTGTGTGATCTTGCTTCTATTGCCATGGAATCATTACAACATCGCAATTTTGGTAGTAGAACCAGAGTGTACTACAGAATTAGATTGGTGAAAACAAACTAGAATAAAACAATTCCTTTCTCTCTCACTCAGTCTCTCTCTCGCTTGCTCTCGCTCTTTCTCTCTCTCTTTCTGAGTCTCCTAAGCTTTGTTTAAAATTACTATATTGTCATTTTGAGTGTTTTAATTCAAAATGTGATTATTCTATGTCTTAATCAGTTCTGGTTACCATGACAAAATATCACAGACTGGGAGAGTTATAAACAACAGAAATTTATTTCTCACAGTTCTGGAGGATGGAAGTCCAAGATCAAGGTGCTTATAGATACTGTGTCTATCAGAAACTAAGGTGGAAAATATTTTTTTCCACCTTATTTTTGTGTTTACTTAGATATATAAGTGTGCAATTCAATCTTTCTCTAATGACTTTGTGCAGGTATCTTCAGAGCTTCCAGGGCATAGAAGTATAAATGTGACCAAATATATCACATTGACAGAAATTATTTACATTGATTTTATATTAGATAAAGAAATCAATTAAACACCTATATAGTGCAACAATTTCCAAATAGTTTCCTATAACTGATAAACATAAGGTACAACAACATTTTAAAAAATCAACAATAGCTTTCAGTCCTTCAGAACTTTCCTGCAATATTTCTAAAACTGTCAAACATCACTGCAAGACGAGCGTCTGTCTAACCAAATAAAGGTTATGTTAGGTCTACAAGTGAGTTTTTAAGGTGCAGGCTGCTTGGCTTTCAAGCAGGGTCAACCCAGATCCAGAGTCCTGTAGTCCCTATTGTAGCAGGTAGTGGTGATTTGACTTTCAAAAATATTGAATAAATAACTTTAGGGTGAATGGTAGATAAAATAGTTATTAATTCCGTGCCTCCATCTTCCCATCAATAAATACATCCTTGAGAATGATCACCATCCACATATTGCCTTACTCTATTGAATTAAAAGAAATATTTCTTTAGAGTGATAAAAGAAAGCTTACATTTGTGTTGTTATTTTGCCACAGTAGCACCACAAGTGGTACATAGTATCTGGATGATTCTTATTTTAAATCTAGTAGGTAAGGTGCCTCCACCATCATCAAATAATTAACAAAGCTAGAAACCAGAGATGGTCCTAGGTGAAATTAAGTAACTAAATTCTTTTAGGAAACACTTTGACCTTCCCCCCACTTTAACTTCTTTCTAAATTCTTATTCCCCAACTCCCACCCCAAAGGAACTAGTGACCTCTTCAGCCCGGTGACTTGTCAGGTTTTCTGATTGTAACTGCTTATTGGAGCCACTAAATCCTCCCTACTAGGCTTTTCCTTTTTCCCATCAAAGCTACCTTCTTTATTATAGACCCTCTGTTTTCTGATGAAATAACAAGCTGATGAGTTGTCCCTTTAAAATGAAAGCCAGATCCTGGCACTATACTACTTAAACCCTATAGTTTTAAGTACCTGTAGTGGTTTTCATCTCACTTAGAGAAATAGCCAAAGTCCTTGAAGGCTCTACACAGTCAAGCCCTGAAGACCTGTCTGATCTTATCACCCACTGTGTCTCTCTTGGGCTTTGGCACACCCTACTCCTTTGTCCTAGACTGCTTTTCCCTAAGAAGTCCAAATTGTTGGTTCCCTTACCTCCTCCATGTTATTACCTCTTGGTGAAGTGACATTAGTTCACTGATCAACTAAAAATGAAATGTTCTTGCTCAGTCAACCCTATAGTCACCATATCACTTAATGGCTTATTTTTCTCAATAGTATTTATCTCCATATGATGTTTATATATTTATTTTTTCTTCTTATTATTCGTCTACTACTTTCCCTAATAACACCCAGTAATAAGCACCATTAGAGTAAAAAAAAAAAAAAAAAGAAAACAAAACTTAATGTTGTTGATGTTGCTTCTTTGTCACTCCCCAGCATCTAAAATAGTCATTGGAACATAATAAAAGCTCAGTAGATGTTTACTGAATAATGAATGGCCCGTAAACAAATGACAGACAAATAGATCTCTTTTCTATAGAATAGCATAAATGACCAAAGGATGATACTCAACCAAAGGATCAAAGGATGATACTCAAATTCCCTAAAAAAAAAAAAAAAAAAAAAAAAAAAAGGAGTCATTAGTGTTCAGCATAGAGGCCGACAGAATATGAGGATATGATAAGGTAGAGGTAAGTCTGTCAGAAGCCAAAGCCATCTATAAGCTGGGGATATGAGGAAGCAGAAAATAAAGAAATGGAAGAAGTCAGTCAACAGAAAGACATGGAATAAATATGCCCCAGGGAATTTTACCTACCAAAATCAAGGGTGAGCATGGTGTCCACGAGTCGCACAAGGAGGGTGGTCAGTCTCTAGTTTGCTACTTTCTTAAAAAAATAAAAAAAGTCCCTTCAGTTAGACTTGATTCTTACTACCAGAAAGGTATAGATAGGACCACCATGCTGATATTTGATGGCTTAAGATGTCACCTCTCCTTGATATCATATATTGTGCAGGTGTCTTTTGTAAACAAGTTTGTTCCCCAAACTGATGCATCTCTAGTCAAGAGCATTTCAGATAGTGTGTTAAGCTGATGGGGAAGAGATGTTTTGATTCCCTAGTCTGTTAACCCTTCCAAGTTATCTATCCAAACCAATCTTGGGCTATCTTGTAGAGCCAGTTCAAGTTGGGATTTAATTTACAAGCAGTCTAAATATTGCTCCTTTGACTTTGTAAACAAAATTAGTAAGAGAAAGAAAAATGTAGAATCTAAATATGAATGGGGCATTGGCCAGAGTTAGAGGAGATTAAATAAGAAAAGCATAGAGCAAAATGACCTGGACCCAAGTAACAGCTTCAGCCTTTGGCCTGAGCATGCTTTCTCTGGCTCTCCACAGGTCACACTTCTTGCTACCTATTGTCTCCTTGAATAAGAGGTCGTTTACTATTGTACTTATGCTATCATTTTCATTCAGGTGAAGTATTTCTTGGTATCTTTATTGCAAATAACTGGACAAAAGAGAAGACTAAGTTGAGTATGATTCTATTACATATGACCCAACTTACTTATTGAGGTTACCTACCAGTGTAGGAATCTTTGTTTGCAACCCATGATCACCTTCACTGCTTCTCTATATAGCTATGAAGAAATTGCTACTCTCAAGTTTAGTGATTCATCTAAATTGACGTAAATAAATTTTAAGAAATGTATCAGGCTGCATATGACTGGCTTTCACTGATCATGTTAATATGGAGAGTGAAAAGATTTAAATTAATATTTTATTCAAAAAAATATTTAAGGACTCTGGTTTGCCATGTATAAAATCTATTCAGCCAAACTCCTTGACATAGTACTCAAGTATTCCCTGTAGCTCTGCTAAATTGACTGGAGACATGATAAGGCATCTAAATTCTGCAGGTATCGCCATTCCTAGCAACCAATTTGATTTTTGATGGACAAAGAGCCCCAGGAAAGTAGATGCCTTTATACCTGAGAAAAAAGAAATCCCAAGCAAGAGAGACGTACCCTAATCAGTATGCTCTGGATATGACAGCATGCAAGTGAGTGATCTATTTTGTTCTGAACTCTGGCTCTGTCAATGACAATACACGATTTACTAGAACAAATCAAATAAGTGTATTTGACTCCCATTTTGACATTTCAAAACAGTAAGCCATATCTCCTTATGCAGCAAATATATTCATGTTTTTAATTTTTACTTTTTCTTATAAGACACTGTTGTCAGGACGAGAATAAAAATGATGACTTAGGGTAGAATTGTTTTCAATGCTTTCTAACATTATGAGAAGAATAATTTCTGCATGGATATGATAATGTGGTATGTGTGGTTCAAAAATGTACAGCCCCCCCAAATGACTTTGAGACTTTGACTATCCAATCAGCAGCTCCATTGCTCCTGTCCCCGTTACAGGTACATGTGACAGCGCTGCAGCTATGAGTGGAATTTTAAAGGGGAAGTTTGAAGAAGTCGACGGCTCCTCACCCTGCTCTTCAGTGCAGGAATCAGATGATGAAGTTTTCAGCTGTGACAGTGCTGAGAGTGTTGATAGTGTCAATCGTTCACTTTTAATGATTTTACCAGTGAGTATCTAAAGCTCTATTTCAGTTGTGCTCTAAATTGTGTTGCATGGGCCATTCTTGGGGGCTTTAGCTTAATTCACTGGCCTGTATCTGCTCTTAAGTACTTCATCACACCAAAGTATTTGTAAAACATGATATAATTTTGGTTAATTAAACTTCAGCAGTGTACTTCTACTCATTTCTATGGAGTGAGTATATAGGAGGCAGAAATGAGTCCAATCGGAGGTAAGCAGACGGCAACTGAAAATAATTTAATGAATGTGTTCAGCTTGCCGAAATAAATCTATCTTTTGAAATCTAATCAGTTAAGCCATTTTGAACTTCTATAGATTGGTCAGTGAGTTGCAGAATATTTACAGTGCTGAGTTTAATGCATTAATCACAAGTAATATAATACAATGTAATATATTGTATTAATGTAATGTATTAATGTATTAATTAAAGTAATTAATACATGTAATTACTTCCTAGATGAGAAAATGATGTTTGTTTTTATAAAGATTGCTTATGTGAAATCAAGGCCTTGAAAACCTTGAGATCCTATAGTTATTTGGACATAGGTAAAACTCAGACTCAAGGCTAGGTTCATGCTCTTGAGTAAGGGCAGCTTTCTTCATGTATATACTTCTCCCAAGCAGTTCATGTGAGTAATACCATCTAACTTAGTATGATGTGTTCTAACTTAAAATTCTACCCATTTTCAAATTACAGTCTTGGTAACAGACGCACATACGAAGGTTGTGAAATAAGTGATCCTTTTCCAACAGCTCTGTGCTCATTCAACCTCAATTATTAAGGGAAAAGAATCTCAAAATTATATTTTAGAAGTTAACATGCACAGCAAAACTAAATGAAGTGAAAGCCCCTTACCTTCACCCACCCCTCATGAGATGATAGGTGTAAACTTCCTTTTAACATTATAGGCCATGAGTAAAGGTAAAAATTATTCAGCATAAAAGAGTATCGTTCAAGAGAGGCTGTTTTCACAATAATTTTTTTCTAGCATTATTTTTCTGGGGTATTTGTATTTGGGGAGTTTAAACTCACCAAAACAGCCTTAATGGGTGTAGCAAGCCAACATGGCACAAATGGCACATGTATACCTATGTAACAAACCTGCACGTTGTGCACATGTACCTCAGAAGTTAAAGCATAATTTAAAAAAAAATTACACTGAAGTTCATCCAATGTAGTTCTGTGACCTGAGATCCTATTTTAATCCTCTTCTCTCTCCCCCAGGATTCAAAATTTTATTTGGTATTCATAATTCTCCGTCATTGTTAGAATCATTTTGAATAAAAACGTTTGTCTCTTGACTACAGTAGAACCTGTTTTATTTGGAACTTTTAGAAAGTGTAAAAATCTAAAGAGGAGATAAAAACACTTGGGAGAAGGGAGAATACAGGTGCTGTTCTGAGGATATGATTCTCCAGTTACGTGGAAAAGTTATGGCCAGAGAGTAGAATTTCAGAGGATAAGTTCTGCTTGGGATTTATCTAAAGCCTTTTCACACCTCCCTCCAAGTGACTGTAACCTTGTGGATGGCATTGACATTGCCTTTCCCACTGAGCCATTACCTATGATGCTTAGAAGAGTACTGAGCACTAGATGATGCTTGCAGTTTTTTTATTGAGTGAATGAATTATTTTCTGACACATCTTAAAAGCTGGAGAAAATGAGTCCACTGGATATTCTTACCCTTAGATGAGCAATAGTACATATTTACATTCAAGACCCTTAGGAGCACTCTATTCATATCCTTTCTGTGTACTTGGGAGAACTCTTCTTTTTCCAGTCCTAGAGCACTGCAGGAGCTACCTACTATTTCTCAATCTTTTTCTTTTCCTTTAGCCACTCCTAAAATCAGTTTAAACCCTATATCTTTGAGATGCTTCCTCATCTAGCAGTGCAGTGCAGTGCAGTGTTTTCCACACCCCTGTGATTTTTTTTTTTAATTGCCAGCATACTTACAACATCCTAGGTGTCTATGACTTTCCTAAAGTTACAAATTGGCTCTCTCCTGGAAAAATCAATTGCAGGACTTCTCTATGCAGACACTTATTGATTTCTATAGCTTGTGAGTTCACAAAGTACCTATAATGTACATTTAAACACCATCAGGCCTTACAATTATGGCTCAAGATGCTTTCCAGATGAAAGTGATGTTCTGGTGGTTTAGGGAGGTTTGAAAAATTATAGGTCAGGCAGTTGTTCTGAGCACCTGAACAGTTCCCTGGAAGGTTAACAGTATAGTGGAGAGTGGTTTTATTTTTTAATAACTATTTTGATGTGTGGTTATAACTGCTCCACTTCACCACCATTACTCTAGTCTAGAAAGGAGAAAACACATACATATCCACTGTGGTCAGAGGAGAATACTTAGGCTATTAAAGAAGGCAACTGCAACGTTTGATAAGTTTTTTTTTTCTCCCTGTAGTGCTGTTCATGTACTTTTCTTTGTGAATTTTCAGGGGTTTTAAGGGAAGCATTTGTCAATACTCCTCTGGAAGCGAATGGTGATATGCATCATTGAACAACTTGTAATTGAATGTGTAATCAGAACCATGACTTCAGATAAACAGTGAGGAGGAAGGGTAAAGAATAAATGGCAATATGACCTACAGAGAACTATCTATCACTATGGGTTACTCTTAGCCTGATCGTAAATACAAAACTTTAATAATTATTTTATAAAGTTGGGCAAATTGAAGAAGAAAACCCATGTTAGTGTTTTTAAGAGGATCTAGTGCTCTGTATATAACTGAGAAAAAAACTAACAATGAAGAGTCAAACCTCATTTTGAATTCAAAGACTATGAGAACTAGTAGGACCTTTGAGAGTGTCTAGGCTGACTCCCTTATTTTGCAGATGTGGAGACTAAGGTCCAGGGAGAGTAATTTGACAAGAATCAAAATGTGAGCTGGTGGCAGAAGACTTTAATGTAGATCCCTAGAGTCTGCCTCTCTACCAGACCACACAGCTCTCTGATGGTTCAGTTACAAGCCTGGCTACTAAGGAGAGGGACACAAATCATCAAGTGAAAGACGTAGCTGTATCTTTTATGCCAGCATCTCTTATATAGAATGAATCTATCTTTTGGTAAATGTAATTGGCTTCTCATTTCTTCTTGCCTTTTTGTGACTTTAGGACAGTGCTAGTGATGAGTTTATGAACAAACTCAATGAGCTAAATGAAATAGTGGGCAGAGAATTCAATTTGAGCATGAAAGAACATTTTGCTTCCCCTTTCTGTAAGTAAGTGACAGGGCAGATTGTTGAAAGTATGTCATTGACATTGATGGAAATATCTTACAGCAAACATGTTGTTTTACATTTACATGAAGGAAATTGGTTTGTCTTGGTGACATAATGCTACTTGTGATAACATGAAAATGTTACAATGAAAAGTAGGTTAGATGAAGTATGCAGTGTGAATCTTTAACAGCAGCAACAAATCAAGGGTTAATTCATTTACTTTAAAGGTAAAACCTTTGTATATTCCACTTTTGCCAGATGGATCAATGGATATCCTGGACTCCCTGAAAAAAAGATAGTATCTTTCTATCTTTTGAACTCCAGGACCTTGCATTACTTGTTCAATAATTCAAGAATGCAGAAACCCACTTACCCTGCATTTCAATTGGACTCACTTAGTCACAGCTTCTGACTGAATGGAGTAATTATATTCAACTTTACTGGCTAGGGACAGAGTTGGATTTTATATTTGCTTGTTTGTTTTAATTCCCAACAAACTTCATTTAAATTTGGCTTTAAGCTCAAAAGCACAATTGGACCAAATTTCAAATAAAATTTTATTTATCTGTAACAATGAATCTAGAAAAACAACAGCCACTGTGGTTTTAACTCCCATGAAAAGCTAAATATAAAGGTAGTCCTGGTGATGTTAATGGTACTATCGCTGACATCATTTGAAGGATATGGCTTTATTAGCATGAGATGCAAAATACATCATAGAAAACCTCCAAATTTCCCACATCTATTATTTACTCAGGATGTTCATAGGTGGAACTGATATTGTAGCTACATTTCATGAAGAGCACAAGAATTAAAGTTGCTATTAAATATTAAAGATACCATCTTCACATTAGTGATCAAAACATTTTCATCTGACAGTGTAATTTATTTACAAATAAATCTTAGAGTGTTTGTATTTTATAAACCTCTTGTTAGAGAATCACATCCTTACTTTGGGGCCATCTAGGAGTGGTCACAGGCAATAAATAAATGATTGCCCAACTGCAAAATCTCATGGCTTGAAAAATGCATCCAAACAAATTTAGGTGATTAAAATTCTACTAACCATCTTCAAAGTACCATCATCTTCTAGCTTTGGTTTGAATACCAGAGATTGACTTGCTTTATACTTGGTGTTTATGATGGTGATGATGAAATCAGTGCCTGAAGCAAATGTCCTTGTGTTTCTCAAAAGGTTTTGAAATTCACTGTGCAGATCAGGCAGTCTGATGCTTTCTGACAGCTTGGGGGAAGAGTGTTTGTGTGCAAGTGAATGCAGGAAGGAATTAAATATGGTCCTGCTTAAAAAAAAAAAAAAGAAAGAGAGAGAGAGAGACAGTTGGTGCGATTTCTAAATGGGCTGCAATAATATTTAATCCTTCCACTCTGGGAAGTACATGTTTGTATATAAGAAGAAATCCTTCTTTTTTGTTTGAGGAATTTGTAAATAAGCTGGGAATATTTTAGGGCCACAGAATTATTGTACCATATGTTTTACATGTTCGGCTACAGTGATCTTGCAGGAACTGGAATAGTTAAAGTCTCAAAAATACTGAACTCCATTGAGAATTGGACTAAGGTCAAAAGCATAGTTTTTAAATGTAAGGAAGAAAGAGCAATCAGAATAAATATAACAAAACAAAAAATGTAACTTACTTTTCAACCAAAAATCAGCACATAAAAACTTGGAAAAACATCTTTTTAATGATATTTAATTTTCAGGCAGAAAAGTATTTGCAGTGAGTG